GGCCCAGCTCGTTTCCATTTTAAATGATCTGGCGCGGGCTGGCGCTGGGGAGCTGAGCCTCCGGGGAGGGGCGGTGCCCGCGCACGCCCGGCCGTTCTGCGCGCTCCGCCTGCTCCGGCTTTGCGGTGACCACTCCTTCAGTCTGGGTGTCCGTTTGTACATCTGTGCCCGATCCCCCTTTCTTCATCCTTCAGCGACACGGGGGATGGGTCTTTGGTGTTGGCATTTTTTCGAGTCTTTATTTGTGTGTCGTGTAATGAAACAGGCGCTCAGTTAAACATCACTGCCTGGAACCTGTGGAGGTTACCGAAATGCTTTTCACTTCACACGTGAAAGGTATTTGCCTTTCTTTCCACCCTTGCGCTCGCTCTCTGCTGTAAGGCCGATAAGGGCCTATAGTGGATGTTCAGAAGATAATGGTAGGGATAGATGCTCAGTATTGAGGAAAATGCTCATTTCCAGGGATTTTCTTCCTTAAGAATAGCCGACGTTGGGTCCAGCAAATAGAGTATTGGACTGCCACATGGGGAACCGCAGTTCAAGTCCCGGTTTCGTCCAAGAGACCGTTGTGTGAAAATCAGGCCCTGCGAGTATGCTTGCATGCCCAAGATTCCGGGCCCTCTCTCTGTCTCTGTCTCTAGCCATGCACATGCCCTAAAGGAAAAAAAAAACCAACAACAAAAAGAATAGCCAAGTGTGTTAAGCACTTCTGTAACTTAATTATTACCAGTGACTGCAACTGTTCCCTGTCATTGTGTATTCTCTTACTCTTTTTTTGAAAGAATTACTTTTTTTTTTTGGAGAGTTTTTTTTGTTGTTGTTTTTTTTTTTTTTTTTTTGCTATAGGCCGCGTGCGCTCGCCAGACAGAAAGCGAGAAAACACCCCCAGAGGGGTTGGCCACGCTGCAATCCCTTCTCCTCCATTCTCCTCTCGGGATCATGGGCATGCACACGCGCCTGGCGTGAGTTTTAAGCCACCGGGTCCGGGTCGACTACATGGGAGTCCAGCGACATAGCCATTACACTAACTGCTGGTCCCCTGAAAGAATTACTTCTTAAATTTTATTTATTTTCATTTTTTAATTTAACCAGTGAGAAAGTGAGAAAGCAAGTTGCCAGGTCCAGGACTTGCACTGTGGTCAGCCATAACCACAGCCAGGGTCTTAACCACTGCACTACCTGTCGGCCCTTCAGTTATTTTATTTATTAATTTATTTTTAGAATTATTTTATCTAACTGCTTGTTTTTATTTATTGATTGATTTTAATTTGACCAGAGAGGGAGAAAGGGGGAGAGAGAGAGAGAAAGTGAGAAAGCAAGCCTCTAAGTCCTGGACTTGAGCCTTGGTGGACCACGTGGGGTTCCAGCGCCTTAACCATCACATCACCTGCTGGGCCACCTCATTTATTTTATTCGGACCATTATCCTGCTTTCTTTCCATCTCACTCCAAGAAACCAACTCCAACAATGCAATCTTCTCTTTCCATTTGCAGTCCATTGTTCTGTTATCTTGTCACTGCCCCTCACTGGTTTTCCCTTCTTGTCCTATTTAAGTTCCATTAAGTTACTCCCTTGCCTAACTCTTTATCATACTTCGGTAAAGACTACAACTTCAATTAAATCCAAGTTTATAGCTGAAGGTGGCTGGAGAAAAATATACTGTATAGATATGCCTCATCCTACCTCCTTCAGGACCATGAACATTGAATGGGCCACTAAAGCAAACATTGTGCTTCCCTTGTCCATTTACTACCCTAATGAATATTTCCCAACTCCTCTAACTTCCACTACCTCCTCCCTCGTCCTCATTCTCAGCCTGCTTCTTTACTTTGAAAATTAAAACAGTCAAAAGAGAACTTTCCCT